AATAAAGCACTTCATGGGAGTAATTGCGGGATGATAAAATGTTTCCCTTATGCAACATGAAAGTATCACGATATGTATCGGTTGAGTATCGGTATCGTTCAGTGGTATCGGTATCGTAAAAAAGTCAACGATATGCATCCCTACCTCACAGTTAAACAATTTAAGGATGCATTGGCCAGGATTAACAATGTGCAAATAACAACTACCATAGTGCAATGCCCATACAGCTGCCAGCCTGATGTGCTTAACACTCATTCATAGGCTAACTCACCAGTGAGCAGAAAGCAGTGGTGTGGTTTCTATATGAACAATAAAAAATACAAATAACCTTTCACAAACAGGTATTTCATAACTGCTTACAATTGTAAGGAAGACATTTAAACTATTATTGGCAGTCACAGGCTGTTGTAAACTAAACACCACTCTCAGTGACAGAACACCTCAGTGAGTGATTTAACTCATATGTCTTACTTGGAGGTTTTTCTTTTCAGCCGCAGACCCCATGTCGCCTCTTTATGTGCGTCACTAAGTTCCTCGTACTACTTGTGTACTTTAAAGCGACACGGCATCGTTTACAATTTGCGAGCGATTTTTGAATTTGTCCGTCTTTCTTAAAATCCGAAGTGTTGCCAAACGTTTGATTTGTAGGTATTTTTCGGTGCGCTGTGTTTCTCTTTCTCCTCGACTTCCATGTTTGTTGATAACTGAGACTCTCGGCCTCCGTAGTGACGAAGCAAAGATCATCTCTGAGTGCTGACAGGATTTTATATGAAGGAATCATTTTTTTACCGATGCAAAGACGCTACAATCGATGCATCGCGAGTTCAACCCAAACTGTAGCCGATGTGCACTCTTTCAACTGGTGCACTCGCATCTTGAACGTTTATGCCGGTGCACCGATGCGAATCGGTGAATCTTAACATCCCTAATGTAAACGGTCTGCAAAGTCACAAACCCTCAAAGTACACCCTGTAGCGAGTAACACTCTAACACAGAAAAGACCTGTCTATGCTGCCCCAGAACGCCTCGTTGGAAGTTTCTCTTTTTCTTCCTGGTACTAAGTGACGTAACAACGACCCAAATGGACCCATTGGTCCAAATGGACTAATCCGTGGAGCTCCTCACACACACACACACACACTCTTTTAGCAGCGAAAATGTGACGCACTGGGGGGTGATAGTGGAGCCTCGCAGCGCGGCGAAACTGTGGCGCGCTTACACTGTAGGTGTGCCGCGTTTGGGGGTGCGGATGCGGGTGCTAGTGGAGCCTTGCAGATGGGGCTGCTGCAGCCCTCTCAGCACAGTCCGGTCAAAATTATTTTCCCTTAGCGCAATACCGCATCAGTTGCGCCACTTATGTGACAGACAAGAAGAGTATGTGACAGACAAAAGAGTATGTGACAGACAAGAAGTCAATTCTAATGTCTAACACTTAATGTGGAGAAAGAGATGTCCTGTATGGGTTGATTGTAGGGATGTCCCGATCACCTTTTTTTGCTCCCGATCCGATTCCGATCATTTAATTTTGACAATCTGCCGATACCGATTTTTCCCGATCCGATCTTTATGCAATGCATTAAGAGAAAAAAAAGGTAACAGATAACGGCTGGTCATCCAACGCGATGAATTCAGCTATCTTGGCTGTTATTTTTTTGGCCTTTTCACTGTTCTGGGGCAGTTTCTCTTTCCTTTTAAAAGTCTCTGAAAGTGTCGGTTGTTTCAGTGCCATTACCTGAGTGGCCGCTGTGTACTCGTCGTGTTGTTGTTGGTGTTTGTATTAGATTGGTCGTGTTGAACGTAGCTCTGTTCTTTCCACCACGCGGATCCTCCGCCGGATCTGGCTGTTACACTGCCTTCGCTTTCAATTTTATAATACTTCCAAACTCCTGACATTTTCTCTGTCCCGACTCCCGAGTCACCAGCTGAACGTAGCCTCTTGTTAGCTTACTGCGACTATTAGACACTGCGCCCTGCCCACTCTGTTGCCAGATTTGAGAGAAATAAGCAACCAGGTCTATGAAAACAAGCCCAAAAGAAGCAACACATACATGATGTTGTGTAATTTTAAACCAAAACTAAGGCCTCAGGATGACTTTAAGACGTGAACATGGTCATTTTTGTTTTGTAACATTAAATAAAATAAAAATATTTTATATAAAAAAAAAATGTAAAAAAAAAAAGAATTCCCGATCTCCGATTTTTTTCTCCCGATTCCGATCTTTTGAAAATCACGTGATCGGCTCCGATCCCCGATCACGTGATCGGATCGGGACATCTCTAGTTGATTGTGCGTTGATCTGTTGGTAATGCCTCGGGGTTCCGGTGGGCATGTAAACAAATGCATAATGCTGCGCTATACTTTGTGGCCTCACCCGGTTGCATAGCGACGCTTATTGTTTAGGTATCCTTTAATAAGCAGGTAGTCATATCATTAGCTAGAACTAGCTAGATCTGATCGATATGGACATAAACGCGAGTAAAGTCTAATCTGACGGGAGAGAGAGATCAGCTGCTGCTGACGAGTCGACACGCAGCTCTGCATGATCCCCTGCAGCGGCGAGCAGAGCAAAACACACTTCAGGTTAGAACATCACACGTAGCTATTTTAATTACCTCTCAAACTACCTAAACTAGTTATAGATATGTTTAGTTTTACTGTCGGGTCACTCATTACTGGATCCGCGAGCTGCATGATACTGACGGGCTGTCAGGAGAAGGAGAGAGCGCTCTGTTTATTATTCCCGCGTTTTTGTAAGTTACTGTACACTTTTGAATAATGTAGTTAATCTACTATAATTAGTTTGTTTAATATCGAATCATATCAATTTGTTTTAAAGCTCAATAAATAACAAAGAAGACCTTTGACCGGCACTTTTCTCATTTTGTCCGGAAGATTTCAACTTTAACGGACATGTTGATTGGCAAAAAAATATTCTAACGGGAACTCTGACAGTCACACCGGTGTGATCATTCTATAATACACCGTTTAAGCCCGGATGCCCCCGGGGGAGACATGCTAACGCTACATTAGCATCTGCGATCTTCTCTACTTCATGCTATCTGCACAAATGTTTAACATTGAACATTGAAAATATCAGGCAGTTCAGGGAGAATCGAAGGCAGGCAGGCAGCTTTGCATGACATTCTTCTGGACGTGTTTCATTGTGGTGATAGTGAGGGTAGTCAATCCCTTGTTTGGCAAGACAGTAGTGACGGCCATCTTGGTGACATGTGTTGTTGTGCGAGACCAGAGATGTAGTTCATTGAGCGGTTTCACACAAAAAAAGTCTTACTTACTTATTTTTTTTTTTACTTGCAAAATTATCTTTTAAATTGACAAACATCTTATGTGTAATTCGTGGCACAATTCAAACGGGATGGAAAGATAACTTTTCTCTCTCCATTGACTTCAATACATAATTTTTCCGCAATAAGGTCCCATGGAGGTCCCCCGGAAAGGGGGGGGACTTCGCCTCTATGGTATACAGAGATGCTGTATGAGAAAACCAATGTGAGTTTGGAAAATTGCACAATGTAAATCTATTCTAGTAGACCTCAACAATGGAATTATGATCAGTAGAAATGGCCATGTCATGGGACCTTTAAGGTATTCATTATTTTAAACGTTTCTGGCGATAAATGTTTTTTATTGATGGTCCATAAATGAGTGTAAGCGGGTTAAGTACGAGGGCTACGAGGTTGACCTTAACCGTCTTCCTGCTGCCAAATCCGGTGGAAACTGCAAGACGTTGAGTCGCTGGATGCGGCTGTCGAATATCCAATATCCAACTTAAAACTAACTTCACTGCGGTAAACAGACTTGGACAGTGCAGCCGTAAAGTTGTTGTTTGTCGCAGTTCCAGCCGTTGGTGCGCCGTGGAACGGAGTTTTTTTAGCCGAAGAAATACTATCATTTTTAAGTCAATAAAATCATTTCAAATAATATTGGGAGTCGAGTTGTTAGTTTGTTTAGTATCTGTCCGCATAATAAGCGGGATAATGTGCAGCGACTTGGTCAAGAACACCCGACAGCCTGAGCAGGGAGCCCGACGCGAGGCGGAGGGATCTTTCGTTGATCAGCCTGAACGGTGTTCTTTTCCCCATGATGACCGCCTCGCTGCAAATTATAATCCCTTACGGCCCGTCCACACAGCAGCGTAGGGCTGTGCGATTATGGCAAAAATCATAATTACGATTATTTTGGTCAATAATTGATATCACGATTATTAAATACGATTATTCATTGACTTTGAAAACATCCATTTATTGTACTTTAAAACAAATACAAATAATAATTTGAACAGTATCTTTTTAACTGTTGATTACCCTGAACGTATAATTCAACTGAAAAACCAATACAAAAATAAATTAAATGATACATTTAAATAAATATCAAAATAATAAATACCAATAAACATGATCAACAAATATTTTGGAGCGCACTTCAACAAGCTACTAAACATATATAAATATGATAAATAAAAATAAATTAGATCAAATATGTTGCAGTGCACTGTCACAACCTAGCAAAACAAAATAATTGTTTTTTTCGATTATGTTGTTTTCGTAATTGTGGCAGGCCAAAATCGTAATTGCGATTAAAATACGATTAATTGCACAGCCCTACAGCAGCGTTAAAAAAATCTTCCAACGCTTCTGCCCATTCACTTTGAATGGGGTGATGTCACTTTGCCTCACTTTTTGCCGAACTGCATTGTGGGAAGCAAAGCGGAGATTTCCAGGCATCTCAGGCTTCAAAAGTTGAGCAATGTTCAACTTTTGAAGCTGAGGTGGAAGCATCAGCCAATCAAATCCCGTTTATGCAAATCTGACAGTACAAGCGCTAGCCAATCAAACCGCGTGTATGCTGGGAGAGACATACCGCAGGTAATTTCCTCATATTCCAAAAAATGGATGAGAAATTAATTATAGGGGTAGGGAATCACCCGGTGCCTTATGACCAGTCCCTATTTACCTACCGGGATACAAACCGGAGGAGCCAGGCATGGAGGGAGGTGGCAGAGACAGTGGTAGGTTTTCGCCTGTTTGGGGAGTTTATATCCAGTTTACTTCGGGCTTTTTTGCTTTGTATGTCGGGGGTGGGAGATTTATGTGATTGGTTGTTGGTCGCAAAAAATCCCCAAGCTACGCCCACCTCCAAGATTGTTTTAACGCTGCTGTGTGGACGTACCGTTACTCACCCAAGTACTGTACTTGAATACAATTTTGAGGGACTTGTACTTTACTTGAGTATTACACTAAAAAATCACAGTTAAATAGTGTACCTTGTGGTGAACTCCGCCTCCTTCTCTCGGCACTACAACCTTTAGTTACTTTGCAGATTTGGATTAATGATGTGAAATAAATTAATACTAAAAGACTTTATTTAAACCTGGAGTAAAATTCACAAGCTACCCTGCAGCATACAAAGTCATTAAAACTAGCTTCACATTTACCAGCTTTGATAACACATGCATCAATAATTATAATTAAAACATATAATATTCTGAAATTGACCAATCTGAATGAGTATTTTACTGTTAAGTATATTAAAACGTCAATACTTTTGTACTTTGACTTGAGTGACACTTTGAATAACGGACTTTTACTTGTAAAAGAGTATTCCTACACGTTGATATTACTACTTTTACGTAAGTATAAGATCCGAGTACTTCTTCCACCTCTGCTAGCTCATGTTCAAATGTAAAAAGATAACGTTCTCTAAATTAGCATCTGCCGTTAGCATAATTCGGCACGGTTTATTAGAGTATAAAACTGTTTGCAGATAAACAAGATTACGGATATACAGTTACTTAGCGGTAAATAGCTAGCCGCAAGCAAAACATTACTTACCCGATGTATTTCAGAAGAGCATGTCTAGTCTCACTACCACGTTGACCTCGCAGATCCACACAGCCACGTTGGCGCTAACCTATTCCCACCGCCTTCACTTTATAACATCAAGCTAGCGAGCCAACATTTGTCCAGTCCCGGTGTTTTTCTGCTGATGTACACTGTTGTGACTGACGAGCCGTTCAGACGTTTAGGATTTTTTAAAGCGGAACCTCAAATTAAACTCACTCCACAGCAAACTGATGTTAGCAACTGTTAGCTTAGCTTAACACCATGCACGTGCCGACAACGCCCAACGTTTTTTCCCCTATCTTCATCCTTGACCCGGATGTGTCGTTGTTGTTCCCTGTCTCACCATCACCAAATTAAATAGGAAATGTAATAACTCACACAGTAAACCGTACACTTAAAAACCTTAGCTAACAAAAAATAACATTTATTTCCCCAAGCCAGAGGTCCTGACAAATTAAAGTATGACTCTGATCCTGATAGTGCAGATCAATAGTTTGACCAGGCTAGTCCCAGCTAAAATGTATCATAAATCAATTTTCCAGAAGCATATTAAAGCTCCTGAACGCAACATCAGATAGGAACATTGATTTTAACTCGACGTTATCAGAGATATTAAGACCAAAAATGTTTATCTAATTAAATAATCAAAACATCGGTGCACAATTTTGGGGTGTACTACATAGTGCATAGTGAATTTATATTAGTAACAGCCTTTTTTAATTTGTAATGTATTTATTCAAGAAAACAAGGGTACATTAATATTATGTAACATAAACTGTCCATACCAAGGGTAATAATAATTACAATAATAACAATAATATTGCGAAAAGTAAAACAAATTCCAAATGATGTATCACTGGCCCTTAAAAAATATATCATCCCTAATGTATTATGTATGAACACTAACGTTTTAATTGCTTTCTTGAGTGAAAGTGAAATATATTCAATATTAATCCTTAATATATCTGTCGCATTTGTGCTATACATATTTGATTTTAACAGGTAAATCCTTTATTGTTCAGGAAAGAAATGTCCCAACTAGCCAAAAGAATCTTCCTGTATTTATTTCAGTATTATAGTCCTCAGTCATTATTTCAGCGACTGAAGACTGTCCCATCTCCAAATAATGTGTTTTCATCATTTGGAGAAGTACAATTAAGATCTGGCTCTACAGCATATTATATTCAAAATATAAAATGTATAGCTTGCAATCTTCCAATCCAATCATTCAACAAGTCCACAGCTAAATCACACCACTAGGGGGAGCCAACTTGCAATTTAGTTGATCGACTAAATTATCTCTGTTTCCAAAATATGTTATCTGTCCTTAAAATCCTTTTTTAGCACAAAATCACTATTGAATGAATGTAAAGGTGGGAAAATAAGTGAGTAGGCATTTGCTGGAAATAAATCTGTGTACAAGTATTATGTGATAGATTGAATGTATTGAATGTTTAACACATTCTTTCTTATTTCTTTTTTGTAGGTGCCAAATAGGCAGTGATTTGCATTGTAAGTAGCCTGCACTTTACAAGCAACCTGATCCTGCTAACTACCACCCATTTATAGTTTTATAATTTTGTTGTTATATTAATAAATCCTTTACTTTTTGAGTTACATTAACACCCATCTTGGAATACTATTCTTTATCGAGATTTCTTTTGCCCCAATATCAAAACACATCCTGCACTAAAGTGTCATATTTCTATGCATTTTTATATTCACTATTAATGTTCTTGACCTTGTACTTTCATCTGGTTTTTTATATCGTCTATATGTATTGTATGCATCAAACACCAAGGCAAATTCCTTCATAGATAAATTAGATATACTTTATTCATCCCACATTGGAAGTTTTTCACAGCAGCAGCATGTTAACAGGCATTATTATAAGGCTTAGTTGAATCCTCAATTCTGATTGGTCATTTCAGAACATGTGACAGTTTGTTAAGACACAGAACAGACCGCTGTCAAGCACTATTATGACCGTTGCTAAGGAGGATCAAGAGAGAGAAAGGAAAATATGTTAAAAGACGGAGCGCTGGACGTCAGATAAATCACCAGAAGAAGGCAGACAGGAAGTAAACACTAACAGGAACACGGTATGGGCTCTGTAGAGTTTAAGGACTTGTTAGTGGATCAGAAACTGTAAACAAGAGTTGGACAGTGCTGCCGTAAAGTTGTTGTTGTCGATGTTCCAGCCGTTGGTGCGCCATGGAACAGTTCTTTTTTCTTAGCGGAAGAAATACGAAAATGTTTGAGTCAATAAAATAATTTCAATTCATATTGGGAGTCGAGTCGTTAGTTTGTTTAGTATCTGGCAGTGTAATAAGCGGGATAATGTGCAGCGAGTTGGTCATTATGGTGAACCGCCTCGCTGCACATTATCACCTAATTTAAGCGCTTTGAGCACCGGGAAAAGTGATATATAAATAACATGTATTATTATTATTATTATTATTATTATTATTACTTAGACATGAGTTAAAATATAAAAGAATAAAATGCAAATAGAATAAAATAAGAAATGAATATAAACTGTAAATAAATACATCCTACAACAGTAGAAAAATATATGTATCAATAGAGTTTCTAAGGCATACACAATATAAAATAAGAAAGAGTTAAATCCAATGAGGTAATTGAGTACAATATATACAATATGTGCAAATTGTTCAGGGTCTTTGACATTGTGAAGGCCTTAAATGTCTTTCAAGTAATTTATTTTCACACTTTACGCTAAAAGGAGCATTATGCATAAATGTGTATTTCTTCCAATAAAAACACCTTCAGACTCAGATCCCAGATTTTGATCTCCCTGTCTGTATCACATACACAGAAGATTGAAAATAAAGTTGACTTTGAAATTGACTTCATGTAATAGCCTTTTTAAAAAAAAAACAGTCAGTGTAACCATTAGAGTACGTGTGCAAAAACCTTTGACTTAAAAAATAATAAAGCAATATGCTCCATGCAGAGAGATGGTGTTTAATTTTAATTTTGTTAAACCCAGAGAGCAAGCCAAATGCTGACAGTGGATATCACATTGTGTGTCAGTGCTGAAGAGAAGAGTGGAATGTGTCCTGTTGTCTAGAGACCGTGTGGCGACTGTGGCAAGGAAAAACTCCCTCTGTGAGGAAGAAACCTTGAGAGGAACCTGGCTCTCTGGGGGCGGGGCGGGGGGGGGGGGGGGCATCCTCCAGTGGGCGCTGACACTCCTGGACCACCTCCTATTCCTGAGAATACAGAAACACTTATAGTAAATACACTGATGGGTTATATCTCCTGGACCTTAGTGTAGGTTGTGATCAGTGCTGTCTTCTTACCTGTTTTTTGTAAAACAGGATGTAGGCCGACTCCTTCCAACGAGCCTCCAGGAAACAGATCCAGGAACAGGTTGGTGAACACTTCTGGTCTTCTAAACTGTTCCCCAAATCTGCACATTAAAGTAACAACACGTGTTAAAATACAGCCACAGAGGTCAAGACACAACCTCCTGCTTAACCAGACCAGGGCGTTTCTTATGGGAGAATGTTTTTGTGATTTCTTTCCTGTATGATTTTATGTATGTTCTGACGTTCTCCATCTTAAACACCAGGTTGCGTTCCACAGGGCAGGTCTAGGGTTTTTCCATGCAGGCATGTCGTGTAGTTTGGGGCAGGCTCCTCATCTGGTCCAGGAATGATGCCAGGAATTCATGAACGTCCTGTTATTCACAAAAACACACACCTTCCTCCGCCAGCGTTTCTGGTGGCCAACTATGCTGACAGAGCTGCCCTCATTCGTGCCTCCATCAGGGCCCAGTCCCAGCCCCAGTCTACACCCCAGGCCAAAAGGTATGGCTTTTCTACTTAAGTACTATACCTAAGGGTAGAGTCAAGTAAGCTAGCACCCCGCTTCATTGGTCCTTGCAACGTTGACTATGTCATGAACCCATCTACAGTACGGTTAATACTCCCACCCTCTCTCAGAATTCACCCCACTTTTCCTGTTTATCGGATTAAACCTGTCTGCTCCAGTCCCCTGTCCCCTCCTGTGGTTGTGATGATCAATGATCCACCTGTCTATACTGTCTGGCGTCTCCTGGATGTCTGCCATCGGGGCCGCGGTCTGCAGTACCTCATGGATTGGGAGGTATATGGTTCTGAGGAGCGTTGCTGGCTGGCCCGTCGTCAGATTTTGGACCCCACCCTCATAAGTGAATTCCACGCCCCTAACCCGAACAGGACCCGGTTGGGCGCTAGGATGCAACCATAGAGCGGGGGGGATACTGTTACATCCACTCTGTTGACCTACTTTTGACTCACTACCCTGGGTTATCAATGCCACTCCTTGAGTGGTTCTCCCTATCTTTGATTCTCTGCAGATGTGCTGGAGTCAGAGCAGCCTCCTACCAGCTGAAACCCTTTCTGCTATCCAGACTCCTATAAAGACTCAGCCCTGCCTCACCCACACCCCCACATCGTAGAACCTGCTCGTCGGTCTATACATCAAGCCAGTTATTATTAACTGGTTATTATTAGCCTCATGGCGCCCACGTCCAACGCTCCTCAGGACCATATATTTTTCTAGAAAAATGCTATATAAGTGTCATGTAGTATTATTATGATTATTATTATATCCTCCCAATTCACGAGATACTGCAAACTGCGGCCCCGACAGCGAACATCCAGAAGACGCCACACAGTATACACAGGATGATCATTGATTGTGTCTTACCTCGTTATTTACTTGCCTGATCCTGTTTGTCTTTTCTTCCCTTGCAGTCCTGCCTGCTCTACTCCAGCCCCTGTAGACAGCTCTGACCCCATCCATTACCCAGATCCAGATTCCTTTCCATCCGGCTCCCCTTCACACCACGGACTTCCGATCTCAGCTCTGATCCACCCAGCCTTATCTCTACAATAAACCTTTTTTCAAACTACTCCTGTGACTTTCTGTGTCCGTAAAAAAGGGTTTCAGCTGGTAGGAGGCTGCTCAGACTCCAGCACACTTGCAGAGAATCAGAGACAGGGAGGACCACTCAGGGTAGTGAGTCAAAAGTAGGTCAACAGAGTGAATGTAACAGTACCCGCCCCCCCTCCCCCCACCCTTTCTAGGAGCGCCTTCTAGCGCCCAACCGTGTCCTGTTCGAGTTAGAGGCGTGGAAATCCCTCCCTAGGGTCCAGAATCTGACGACGGGGCAGGCTGAAACGCTCCTCAGGACCATATCCCTCCCAATCCACGAGGTACTGCAAACCCCCTTAGGTGGACATCCATAAGACGCTGATCTGTCTGCACCTGGCTCCACCTGTTCTGCCGCCCCACGTTAGATCTGTGGGCGCTGGCACTCCTGCTGGACCACCTCCTATTCCTGAGAATACAGAAACACTCAGAGTAAATACACTGATGGGTTCTATCTCCTGGACCTTAGTGTAGGTTGTGATCAGTGCTGTCTTCTTACCTGTTTTTTGTAAAACAGGATGTAGGCCGACTCCTTCTGCTCCTTACACACAGATACTCCTGTTGTTTTAACGACTTCCAAGTCGTTGAAGGTGAGCCACCTGTCGGTTGGCTTGTCTGGACTGTCGTCGGGATGAACGCTGTCACAGATGTAGTGTCCTAAAGAGATAGAGAGGAAGAGAGAGATCTTTGTTCAAACATTGAGTTGCCGCTTTAAGTGGCACCAGACATTTTTTTAAGGTGTTTATTAAATCATGAAAGCTTCTGAATTTGCTTTTGTATTTCCCAAGTTATACAGAAATTCTTGTTTCTAATGACTAAACTGAAGGTCCCATTCAGCCTACAGTGTTTGATTATTTTACCTCCTTCTCCACTGTAGCCTAGATGACTGACAGTGCTGACCAGACTGTAGCAAGTGTCATCCTGAGAAAGAAACACAGAGTTAGTTTCACACACACATAAAACAGCAGCAAAAACACATTTATTCACTTCCCAATTGGCCCGATGCTTCTGTTTACCTCGTTGCCGGACACCTGCAGGCCGCTCTGCAGGTTGATGGCGTAGTGTAACTTCTCCATCCTGTAGTCGGAAGTGAACTGGAAACGCTTCAGGTGCAAGATGAGCACTCTGCAGAAGATGGTTAAGGATCGATCACTATGTTTTTTAATCGGTTTTCTATCATGAACTTAAAGCATTTATTTGGGATAGTGTGGCGCAGTTTTTTTGATTAATGATGTCACTCACTTTGGCATGGTCTTAAAAGTTGATCTCTGGCCAGATGTTCTTCCTCCGCACTCGCACTTGTATTCCAACTCGGTCTCCTACAGGACAGGCACAACAAACAGTGTTACACACTACAAAATAACATAACGTGTGTGTTCAGGCTGTGAGGATGTGACAGGTGAGTCTTACCTTTTGGTAGTCCTGAAGCATCTCTTCCACCGAGACTCCAGGAAACAGATCCAGGGACAGGTTTGTGAACACTTCGTCTCTTCTCGACTGTTTTCCGCATCTGCACATTAAAGGAACAACTTGTGTAAAAATACAGCCACAGAGGTCAAGACCTGACCACCTGCTTAACCAGACCAGGGCGTTTCTTAGGGGAAAAACGTTTTTGTGATATTTGTCTGTATGGTTTTACCTCTTGCATGTCCTGATGTTCTCCATCTGGAACACCATGTTGCGTTCCACAGGGCAGGTGTATGTTTGTCCCATGCAGGTTGCGATGTCCTGCAGAAGTGGGGACAGATTCCTCATCTGGTCCAGGACTGATGTGATGAACTCATGAGCGTCCTGTAAAAACATGGAACACACACAGAGGGGTTAATACACAGAGAAGAAACTATCAGGAGGAGGTGATATAATCAAACATGAAACCAGCTGACTCACCTTTTGCTCGTAGTCGCGGAATTCTGGAGCCTGAACAGAGACCACGTCCTTGAATGAGTCCAGGAGGCCCCTTTTACTGTTGATGTCGCTGGAGGTGTGGGCGTCTTTGATCGCTAGGAATTCTCTGCAGAAGGAAAAATAGAAGGGTTCGATCTGGTATTCCATTTTCTTCCAAAGGTTTTGGGTAAACCTGAAGGGGACAGGAGTGTGTGTGTGTGTGTGTGTGTGTGTGTGTGTGTGTGTGTGTGTGTGTGTGTGTGTGTGTGTGTGTGTGTGTGTGTGTGTGTGTGTGTGTGTGTGTGTGTGTGTGTGTGTGTGTGTGTGTGTGTGTGTGTGTGTGTGTGTGTGTGTGTGTGTGTGTGTGTGTGTGTGTGTGTGTGTGTGTGTGTGTGTGTGTGTGTGTGTGTGTGTGTGCTGTACCTTAACAGTTGGGCGTCACATAATGGATCCCAGACATGCTGCTGGTGCTGTAAGTCCTGGACGAAGTTCTCCAGTGTCAGGAGGCCCTGAAGGCTGGAGTTCATATAGCACGTGTTTGAGAGGTTTGGAAGTCTGGAAACGCAACACAAGCAGTCAATATCATCTCTTCTTCTCTGAAAAATCATAAACTAAAGCCGTTTTTCTACGGAATTGTTACCTACCCCAAGCAGTTGATGTTGGTGGGTTTAGCCTTCACAGCATCACCGATGCCATCTGGAGTTTTTGGGGTTCTTGGAAGGGAACAAGACAACCACACGGTCAATAAATATGACAAGAGGCTTTGAAAAGTGTCTTTATCAACACAACACACACTGAATAATGTTGAAGCAAATCAACCATCAGGGAGAAGAATAAGTAAAACCATCTTGCCTCTTAAAGACGGAAAAATTAGTCAATGGTCCTATAACGTAAAGCTTTAGGAATCTAAGATCTTAATTTGGAGTGTATCAGTTCTTAGCTCACTTGTTAAACTCTTCCTTAATGCACGTCTCCTGTTTGGACTGCTTGTTCACGGTGCTGCAGAAGGTCAGCAATAACTTATCGTCTGTGAATTCTGGTTTCCCACCATGGAGGGAGAGAGCTGGGGCGACCGGAACCACTCCATTCTGCTTGTTCGTCTTTTTTGGAGTGCCAGGACTGCTGATGAAAGAAAAAACAGATTGACATTTAAAGTGTGATAAAGATGGCAGAAAGGCACTCACATATTATGATATCATTATAGTCAGACAGCTTATTTGATCAAAAAATTGCTAAATGGTGGACGTTTTGCAATCTAAGATATTGAGTAAAAGTGTATCATGATCACCTGATCAATTCTGTCTTGATGGCGTCCTCTTTGATGGGAAGCTCTTCCTGGGGGTCGTCAGAATGCTCATTCCAGTCGTCTTCATACAAGACTTCCTCCGGCTCTGGGATGTCCGGAACCACTTCATCCTGGTGAGACTTCTGCTGCTGGTTTGTCTCTTTTGGTTTTCCAGGACTGCTACGGGAAAGCTCTGCCTGGGAGTCATCGAAAAGCCGAGAAAGGTCATCCACAAACAAGTCTTCCTCCAGCTCTGGGATGTCCGGCACCACTTCATCCTGGTGAGACTTCTGCTGCTGTTTGGTCTCTTTTGGTTTTCCAGGACTGCTACGGGAAAGCTCTGCCTGGGAGTCATCGAAAAGCCGAGAAAGGTCATCCACAAACAAGTCTTCCTCCAGCTCTGAGGATACTGGCATCACTTCATCTTGGTGTGAATTCTGCTGCTGTTTGGTCTCTTTTGGTTTTCCAGGACTGCTACGGGAAAGCTCTGCCTGGGAGCCCTTGGAAAGCTGAGAAAGGTCATCTACAAACAAGACTTCTTTCTGCTCTGGGACGAGCGGCACCACTTCATCCTGGTGAGACTTCTGCTGCTGGTTTGTCTCTTTTGGTTTTCCAGGACTGCTACGGGAAAGCTCTGCCTGGGAGTCATCGAAAAGCCGAGAAAGGTCATCCACAAACAAGTCTTCCTCCAGCTCTGAGGATACTGGCATCACTTCATCTTGGTGTGAATTCTGCTGCTGTTTGGTCTCTTTTGGTTTTCCAGGACTGCTACGGGAAAGCTCTGCCTGGGAGCCCTCGGAAAGCTCAGAAAGGTCATCTACAAACAAGACTTCTTTCTGCTCTGGGACGAGCGGCACCACTTCATCCTGGTGAGACTCTAAGATTGACTCCTGTTTGTCTGTCTCTTGAGGGGTTGCAGGTCTGCTGCTGGTCTTGCTTTTGGATGGCGGCTCAGGCAACAGGCCCCTATCAAACAGGTAATCATAAAACTCCTCATCCAGAGCAAACGGCATCACCTCATCCTGGTGAGAAAACGAGCTGGAGTCTTTTGGTGCTTTTGGACTGCTGCTGGAAGAAGAAACAGATTGACATGTAATGTTAGGTTTTATTCATTATTGGCATTATTCATCAGTGACAAAATTCTAAATGTCCTTTGTTACATTGAATCCCTTCCAGAATAAATCTAAACCAGGTGAGATGGACGTCATGTTTACCCAAGTACTATACAATTGATCATATGTGAGAAAGATTACAAATTCACAAGTGTACCACGTATCTCACGTCCCAAAACTTGAATATCTTTTAAGCTTGTGTAAAATGCAGACCTTTTTTTCAGCCATCAAACTAAATATCCATTACAAAAAACACGAATTCACTTCACGATGAGGGAACAGGAAGCTCAAAAAGTGCTGACTAATTGCTGGATTTTACGACAAATCTTTTCAGCACTACTTTATGTGTGGGAGCTAAAGACTGGCTTTCTTTGTTCCTGACAGACAGTGAAAGCAGTATAAAATAATTGTCCTTACCTCCTCTGTTCTGCGCTGGTATCTGTAGCCGGTGAGACCTGACATTTTCCCTGTTGGAGGAAAAACAAACTTCAGTATCAGATTGTACTCTCATTTAGTCGTGACTAGTAACTATCTGGTTCGTGTTGAGTTCTGGCTGTGTTTGTGAAACATACCTTGCCCCGTTTAAAAAGCTTATTCCACCAACGTGTCTTCTTGGCTGTCCCATTTGTGTCGGTAGATGAGGCCGTTAAGGTGATCACAGATCTAGAGAGAAAAAGTATTGGTTATGTCATTGTAAAACTAAATACTTGTTCACAATAGTCAGAAAAAAGGATGGAGAAACATGTGAGGATTCCTGATTCCCAGGTTTTATAACCATTGCTCTCAGGCATTTCTGAGTAAAATCATTTACTAAAATAAATGAATAAAGACAAAATATGATTTAAAAACTGAACAAAAAATATACAGGATGAAAATTCGTACCTTTCGTTTCTTCCAACATTTCCTTTCTTCTGTAGAGGGAAAAGACCAACAATAATAAGTAAACAATGTCAGACATATTGGTTATTGTGGTTACTTACAAATAAACTAATCTAAATAATAATGGTAGAGTCGACTTAAAAGACATGAAGCTCTGACACTTTCTGTCAAACATACCTCGCTACACCTACTCTCCTTTGACTTCTTCTTTCTAGCTTTCACTGTATTTGCTGAGACTGTAGAAGCAGCAGCACATTTTCTACTGAGAAACACAGATGAAAATGTTTAGCCAGTTATAAAGCATTATCCATATGCAAGTATTATTTGTATGAAAGTTAAACTATTTACAACAAATTAAATCCATCAAAACACAAAAAATGGTAGCTAATTAAACCTAGTGTATAAATGATTAGTTAGGACACAATTAAATGAACTTTTAACAATGTTCTTACCTCCAACGTGAGCTGAGACAGTGTTTGCTGTCAACAGCCACATCATCTGTGGCATGTTTTTGCTTTTCCTTGTTCGAACGAAGGAAAGAAAAAGCATCACACAACCAGCTAAACATCTTGGTTATTTTTCCAATTCTTTTTTTTTTAACCAGAAGTTAGACTCAACTCTCTGTTACCGTTCGGTTTCTGAACTGAATCTTCACTAAGACTGAATGTTACCTAGGGCACAGGAGAAATATAGTTCTAGAATGTAAGAATGATGACGTATCAAGGCCATATATAGACTGTGTGATCAAGGCACATTCCGTCATTTAAATATTCTAGAACACAACAAACACAATAGAATGCTCGGTCTCACCCATATGAAAAAATTCACAAAAAATGTATACAAAATAAATAAAACCATATTACAGCAAAAAAAAGAAGATATCTCAACAATACAAGAATACATGTAAATGTATAGCACATAGGCCTACTGAATGCTATACAAGCATGTAATTACATATAGCCTACATGGTGTGTGAATAGAAATGTAATGTGATACTGTAAATCCACAATTATATGCCTAAAAAAATCTAAATTACCTATATATAGAAATACACTCCAATGCGTCCTTTAAAATGTTATTAAAATAAACACTTTCATATTGTTTGTCATCTTAGGCTATGTTTGTTTAGCCTAGCTTAGCTCACATATGAAGCTAGTAACTAGCTTAGCTCCAATACAATTGAAAACTACATTTTCCAACTCTTTTAAAGCTGATTCCATCTTGATTTTCCTTCTTATGTATAAATACAAACAAATAAATCATAATTGTAGTTTAACTTTTCATTACTAAGAATTGAAGCTTCAACACACAGGCAGTGTGCTTTGAAGGTAAATGATGTGTGTACATTAACTCAAGTATGATACTTAAGTACTTTTTTGGGATATATTTGTACTTTACTTGAGTTTTTCCATACAGTATATTGCCACTTCAACTCATCTACATATCATAGACAAATATTTTGCTTTTTACCCCACTACATTTATTTAATAGTCACAGTTACATTGTAGGCTAAATTTAAAACGACATGATACTTATAGCCTACTAAAATTCAGTACTGTATTACTAATCTACACAGTATTTTAAGTATCTAAATGTGCTCCTCATTGACGAAGTACAATTCTAAAATGCTCTTAAATTTGACAAAAAGCCTAAGGATATTATAATAACTATAATAATGTACCATAATGAAATTATCCATCCTGCATAACAGGTACTTTTACCGTTGATGCTTGAAGTACATTTAGCTGATAATTCTTCCTTAATTTTGCTTTAAATTATTCTGAAATGGGCCGTTTTGCAGTAGGAGTACATTATATGCTAATACTTTCGTACTTTTACTTAAGTCACATTTTAAGACAGTAGTAGGCTATGTGTTATTTTACTTAAGTAAAGGATTTGAGTACTTCTCCAAAGACTGAGTATTAGCAATTAGTGATTTGTTAGGTTGTGTTTTAGCGGCATCACGGTGAAGTACTGTAATAACTAACATACAGTCATCCTGCGGGGGGCAGCCCAGTAACGTAACTTCACTTTTGGCCGGTCTCTGAACCGGAAACCGGAACAACATCATCGACTGAACAACGCTGCCATTTTGACTTCTTCAGAAGCGAGATCGGGAAAACTACGTGTGTTCTTTTAGTCTTATTTACACATACCATATTTCACCATGGCTATGCAAGCAGCAAAACGTGCTAATGTAAGTGTAAACGAGTTGGCTGTTGTATACTGAGGAATATAACTATGTATATTAGCTTGGTGTGGCTAGTAGTTAGCGACACCCAGCGCTAGCATACGGTTAGCATACGGTTAGCATGCTAACGGATTGAAAACAATCACACTGTCTGTGTTAAAACTTTCCACATTCTTGGTATTTACACTTCTACTTCTTACAAAAACGTTGACCTATTTGGTGCGATTTGAAAACGTATGTTTAGGAAATGTAAACATGAACATTTTAAACAATTCAACGTCAGTGTTTCGAAATGGCCAATGTGCTTGCTAAATGTGGTTAATGGTGTTTTAAGAATTGTGTTTCTAAACGTTTATTTAATATATAGATGGGGGCGGGGGGGGATGCTTGAATTATCACAGAAGCGAGACAAATAACTACAACAAAGTGTTGCATTACAGGTTACATTATAATAATATTTACGTTACAAAACTCTACAATTCGATAAATTGATAGATAGACATTATTTCGTCACAGCAGCGGTGTTATAAAGCATTACACATGAATAAAAATATATTTAAAAGATCGAATAAGATACAAATATAATAGCATGTATATACAAATTCACAGTAGAAAAAACATATATCACTAGAGGATCTAAATAATAGACAATATAAAGAAAATACTGAATAGGCCTACATTTTAATAATCTTTAAAAGACAATTTCATTAGGCAAGGCAAGGCAAGTTTATTTATATAGCACCTTTCAACACAAGGCAATTCAAAGTGCTTTACAAAAATGGAAGACATTTGAAAAATGGCATTTAAAATCAGTCATTAAAAAGAAAAGATAATAAAATAAACATTAAAAGAAAAAATACATGGATAAAAGTTAAAAAGCAACAGAAATATACTACAGAAAAAGAAACGTATAGACATTGGATTATATTATACACATTACAATTGTGCAAAATAGCTGTTGTACAAGAGGAGAAACTTAAGAAGATTAACTTTATGAGCGGGTTGACATTGCTTCAGTAGTAGTTTGACGGTTTTTCAATTATTAAACGTCATTACATCTGCTTTTACTTCTCTACTTCTAACTATTATATAAATCTTCGTTAACTCCTCTGTTTTTTCTCGTTATGCGGTTCAGATACGATTACCTCCTGAGGTGAACAGAATCCTGTACATCAGAAACCTTCCCTACAAGATCACAGCTGAGGAAATGTATGATATCTTTGGGAAATATGGACCAATACGTCAAATCAGAACGTAAGTGTTTAAAATACAAGGTAGCTTTCAGCAGGATTTTTGATTCCCACCATGGCAAAAGGAAGTACTTCATGAGAAGTGCATGTGATCATTATTAATATTGACAATGCATCAGATCTAAGACCATATAGGACATTAGGCCACATTTCACTATTATTCTTGCATACAATATCATACATTTTTTTTAACCGGTGGGTTTCCATTATAATGGTAATAAGTACTATCATAATACATAATGGAGATATGTGAAATGGGATATAGAATTTGAGATAGTTCAAGTTTTTATACAGAAACATTAAAAACTATAATCTCTAACACGGAAAACTAACCTAAACTACTAAATATTACCATTGAATGTATTCAATAAGTCATTGGTTTAAATGAGGTCAGATATAATAAACACAAACATGGAAAATATTACTAGGTAATTCAAGCTTTGACATATTTTACTGCTGCTTTTTATAGACACAGAGATAGACTGACATTTTTATAATTTGTATTGGTTTGTTATCAATCTGATTCCTTACCTATGTAAATCACACTAAAGCTATTTCATTTAAGTATACATTTATCAGCCTTTTAAGGATGCTTTTTAAAATTTCTTATATGTATACAAGGTATGATTGTTATGATTAAGTTGCAGAGTATGTCATTAGATTATTTACAACATTTTACATTCGATATGTACCACTTATTTCCCCTTCATGCCAGTGGGAATCTGCACATGATGGTCTAATTTTCACTACTCTTGTGTTTTACTCTTTCTCCCTTCTCAGAGGGAACACACCTGAATCACGAGGAACATCTTACGTGGTTTATGAAGACATTTTCGACGCCAAGAACGCCTGCGACCATCTGTCGGGTTTCAACGTCTGCAACCGCTACCTGGTGGTCCTCTACTACAATGCAAACAGAGTATGTATCAGTGTTACAGTAGCAGGGTTTCTCATAGGGTTTTTCAGGCAGTAGAAACTTACCATAATTACCTGCATCGTCCTTTCTCTTTATGGATGAAATTTAAGTAAAGAATTCGGATAAGCAAACCACACCATTTAAACCAAATCACACCTGCTAGGCATTTTCAAATTTCACGTACAGGAGACACAGCTCCTCTCCTCCTCAATTTTTCCCAAATAACCTCAGATTATCACAACCATTGACATTCTTCTTCTTCCTTACAAACCACTGTACCAAACTTGTTTGATAACGAAAAAAGATGTGCATTTGCGAGTGTGCAAAATTGATATTTGATTTCTAGATACATTTAAATTCAGTTCATTATTTACAAACAGTTTAATAATACAACTTCAATCATGAGACATAACGGAGAAATGGGGCACCCCAATAAAGTATCCGAAATTGTATTACTAACAGATCTAAAGTTGGAGAGTTCAGGTATTATACAGAAACATTACAAGCGAAAAAACACCAGCCGTGCACAAAATGCATTGGGGTTCAACAAGACTAAATACACATATTTGTATCATTTTACTTTATCAACACATTTTATTTGAATGTGTTTCTCTGTTTATCAACTCTTTTTCAGGCTTTCCAGAAGATGGACACAAAAAAGAAAGAGGAACAGCTGAAGCTTCTAAAAGAAAAATACGGCATCAACACAGACCCTCCGAAGTAGCATTCCAGAAACCCCATCCAGCTCCACGCCTTTCACCTCCATCTTCTTTTTCTGTCTTTACAGACATGACATGTTCATTGATGTATGCTGGTAATCTTTTACTGATACAGCTGTTCAACATGTCATTTTTTGATGATTTTAATTAAAGGAGGTGTTAGATAATTTCTTTGTTTTTATTAAGTCAATGTTGATTTTTCCAAACCTCGCTTGGTAATCCGGACAAAGCTATTATAATAAAAGTTTGCTCAACATTAAGATGACTGCTTGTATTCACCTCATGATACGTTTTTTTAAATCTCCCAGAGTATTTTTCACTTTTTTTTTGTTAATCTCTTCATGGGTCATCTTTTAATTTAAAGCTAATGATGGCCAAGCTGTTTGTGATATGAAATTGCAACGATCAACCGGCTGTGTGAAGTTTACGATTTCTGTAAAATAAATGTTCTTTTGCTAAAAGCTCCTGTCTCCTCCCTTTTAACATTCTGTGAAGTATCGAGGATGTCCTCTGTGTGAACCCATTCAGATCAATAAGACAGTGCATACATTTTTCACATTTCCACAGGGGTTTGGGAGTCACCTGATTCTCATTTTGCCTGAGCACCAAACAGCTTGTGATGTTGCAGTCCCTGGGGTTTTAGTTTTCTGTGTACCGTGAGGGCACAAGCCTCCAGTTGACCCCTGTGTGATGAGTAGTATTGTGCCAAAGAGTCATGGGTAAACACTGCAGGATTACTTACTTTTCCATGCCCAAATGTTAGTGTTACTTTCAATGGTAACCCAAAAACAAATATGATATTTCCATAGAGAAACATAAAATATATACTTGCTCCTATAGTACAACAATGTCTCAACAGTGACATCTGGTGGCAGTACAGGGGCATTATTTTAGAAATGTCTAACGGTGGGCAGTGCATCAGTAGCCTACGACAATGAATCGTCTATTCTTTGTCGTACTATTCATCGTTTATTGAGGATTCGTCAGTTAACACCTTAACACCTAACTAACAGTTGTAATCGACTGTATATATAAGAATGTAATGTATTAATTAAAGTCTTATGTCTTCAGAAAGCTAAGGAATGTAGTTGGCAAAGTAAAGCTAAAAGTAATGGGAAAACAGTTGATCAAATTAGCTTAAAAATGAATGAGAAACAGCTGACATAGTAAGCAAAATGTGATTGATTAACCGTTTGAATAGTTATAAGGTAGCCTACAGTTAATGGAGTTAGCTAAAGTAATACATAAACAGTTGAAATAGCTAGCTTAAAAACTTTCTTCAGCATCCTCTTCATCCCACCTCATCATCAATCCAGATCTTCAGCATCCTGTTCACCCTATCTCATCATTAATCCAGATCTTCAGCATCCTCTTCATCCCACCTCATCATCAATCCAGATCTTCAGCATCTTCTTCATCCCACCTCATCATCAATCCAGATCTTCAGCATCCTGTTCACCCTATCTCATCATTAATCCAGATCTTCAGCATCCTCTTCATCCCACCTCATCATCAATCCAGATCTTCAGCATCTTCTTCATCCCACCTCATCATCAATCCAGATCTTCAGCATCCTGTTCACCCTATCTCCTCATTAATCCAGATCTTCAGCATCCTCTTCATCCCACCTCATCATCAATCCAGATCTTCAGCATCTTCTTCATCCCACCTCATCATCAATCCAGATCTTCAGCATCCTCTTCATCCCATCTCATCAAATCTAGATCTTCAACATCACCAGTGTCTAGACCCCGGGGGGTTTACCTCACGGCTGCATCTCCCCCTTAAGATATACGATATCATGATCGGGGTCTAATCACCAAAGACTATTAACATTTATATCATACGGAGCATGTATCAATAAATGTTCTCTTCACAAAAAATGTAATCTCTGAAATATTAAATTTGATTAATCTAGTGAAATAATGCATAGTGTAATTTAACTAAACCAAATTAAGCCATTAAAATGTATTTGTATGAAAATGAATATCCATATTTTTTAAGCGTTAATTTACATCTAGTAAAATCTAATAAAATGAGCACATGGAACATTACGGGGTGTATTTGAGCTAATCTAATAGAATGGTTTGGTGTACTTCAAGCAACCACATTTGGGAAAAAACCCCTATGCTGCTTGAGGAGAGGATTTGCTGAGTTAAGAGACCAGACAAGAGCCCATAGAGTTCCTTTTATTAGATTAAATCACAACACAGGGAGTAGTGCAGCCATGTCGTCAGGGACACAATACATGCTACAAAAGAATCCTTGTACACGTTTGCTTTTGCTTACATTTGGTATCTTGATAGCAATAATATTAATAACAGAGTTGGAATTAAAAACATTGTTTGGCCAAAAGATGTTTATGTAAAGAAGTTCAGAATACAAAGTGACATTGCTGAGAGACAATGGACCGGTATGCTCGATCTTTATTGCAATGCTGTTTATTACGACATATCACATCTGCTTTAGCCTCCACTGCTAGTGTTGATGCATGTTGGAATGTGTCTGCGGTGCTTTCAGACGTAACCAGGTCAACTTGTTGAAGTGGGCGCACGGGTTATTTCCAAATCATTAGTAGGAGACGCCACACTTCACTGAACTTCTCTACGTTTCGAATGTCTGAGTACGTGTACAATGGGTGAGAGAAGGGAGTAAAAAAGTACAAAAAGATTGACTGACTCTTAAGAGGGAATTACGTCGAGGGTCTGGGGAGGGAGAATCGTCCAACTTACTAAACACATGGCTTCACAGGAAGGGCTGTCCTCTACTAGTTACAATGAAAAAACATTCACTGCTCCTCTCACTACTTCATTTACTTCCACTGAAAAAAGACAAACGGGAAAATGCTGCACGGGCCTTATTTCTTCTCTTCTTTGACGCTCTAAAATAACTCCTCTGGATTTGTCTTCTTGATATGCAACCTGCAGGCTAATTGGAAAATAAGTAGATGTGATGGTAGGTTTGATAACAACGCTCTCCGCCTATAGATTCGTATTTCGTCCTTCTAATCCAATTATCTCCAGCTGAGGGACGCTTCATTCGTTCTCCAGGGAATCCTGATGGATTCTCGCTTCACTTTCTATCGCTGGTTCAAAATGACTGGTTCCTCTGCATCGAACATCTACTTCTTTGTAATGAGAGTGTGTTTAAATGCACAGGGGCAGGGTGTTAGTTCTTAGCAACATATACTACAGCTATTTTACAAGGGAACATGCTCCCACAGTTAAAGCAGTCCAAAGGAAACGCCTTGACATATCACATCATTGACAGCCTTTACTTGTAGAAGGACCTACTTCAATGTTTTTTTGCTCCCTATTCAGTAAACATATTTTCTCCCAAATTCTCCAAAGTGTCACGCGCTGCTTCGATAAGGCTTTCTGTCATCGATTACAGGATGCAAAATTAGGAGATTTTTTTAAGGCAGAACCTAAAGGCATGCAAATTAACTACATTTACATCTTTTGACCGACAGTACAGGCATGTTTCAGAAGGAAAAGTTGGACGTACGCTATAATCCATCTCTTCTAATAGTGCTAATATTTCGAGACGATGGATCGAGTGTTATTGGAGGCAGATACATTATCATAGGAATTTGGTTCAGTCGACATTACTCGGTATTATGAAACACAGACAGCTAGCGTCAGTAAACTCGGAACAATAAATAGAGTAGCGGCAAATTCAACGTGGCACATCCATGATGCGCAAGCTCCAGTAAAATGAAACTGTATGGAAAATACTTTGCACACTTCACATTTTGGCAGTTGATCTTTAAATAATTTAAATATATATTCATATTTATATATATCTATATATATATTTGTGCGAGGTGTTCATATGTAGTGACATGTGTGTGTGTTTGTGTGTGTGTGGTGTGCACTTGCACTGTTTGTATGTTGTGTGTAGATCTTTTTTATAGCAAATAACATTCTCATGCACACGAGTGTTTCAAACACAAGAAGCAGATCCATTGAAAGGTAGTCCAAGCATATATATAATTTTTTTTCAGTGGAAATAGCTGCAAACTGAATGGAACATGAAATTCTTTCTGTGCAGTCCGTGGCGGCAGGTGGAGCTCCGCTTGCCCTCCGTTCTATTTCTGGAGGTCGCACTGCAGCAGTAGTACGATGGACGGGTCGCTCTTCGCCGCCTCTTTGAACTCGTCCAGCGAGATCTGGTCGTCGTTGTTCTTATCCATCTTGGAGAAGATCTTGTCCACTCGCTGCTCGGGCGTCAGGCCGTCCTCGTTCATCTTCATCATGATCACCGTGCCCACCATCTTGTAGATCGCCTGCAGGGGGAGAAAGTGAGAAGAAATTAAGTAAAGCTAAAAAAAAAAAGTGTTAATAGGGTTAGCTTAAAGTATTGGGAAAACAGGTGAAATAATGAGCTTCAAGTAATGGATAAACATTTTAAATAATTAACGATAATATACTTGATATTATGAGTTCAAATGTTTGTGTAAACAATTGCAATAGTAAGGTCAAATTAATGTAATTAATATTTAATTAATTAATTTGCAAAAGTAACAGATAACATTTTGAAAGAATTAGCTAAGAGTGCACAAAGATAGATAATAAGCCTCATGGATCATCAATGGAAATAATTGCTAAAAGTAAGTGATGCATTTTTTTTATATTGAGCTAAAAGTAATTGATAAACAGCGAAATATCACAAATAAGCAAATATAATTAGCCTCAGGTAATGTATAAATGATTGAAAACATTGTTGATATTCAATTGCATTAAAATAAATAAATACCAGCCTTTTTCGTAGTATTACTTCAAATCTGTTTGGAGTTCTACTGAAATAATCACATTTGAATCATAACGGGTGTATTTGAGTTAATCTGATATTATTGTGGGGTTCTGTCACACTAACACATTTTGGAAACTCCTGGTCTTCAGCACATGCTCGCACTGCTTGAGACCATTTGCTTAATAATCAGACAAGAAGAATACGTGCTACAAAAGAATCCTTGCTTTTGAGAAAGAGAGGGATTTCTTTTAGAAGAGACACACTACATCTGAAGTCTCTTAATGCGTCCATGTTTCCTTCACTCGTGTCTTTCCCTGAGATTCAAAACAAGGGAACATGTCTCCGTGTTGGAACCAGGTTTCAGTTTCTGTGGCAGCACAGATGGAGCACAGCTGGATAGGCTGTCAGCGGCTCTATATTTCTGTGTGTGTGTTCATACCCTGGTGTGTGTATTTCAAAAGATAATGTGATGTGCTGTCCAAATGACAATAGTGAAGCACAGTAACTACAGCCTCTGCTGTTAGCTTTTTCTTTTATTGATGTCCTCCTCCAAGTGAGAATGTGCTAGATTAATCTGTAAACATCGACACATGCTCAGGGGCCTCATTTATAAACGGTGCGTACGCTCAAAAGATGGCGTACGCCAGTTTCTACGCAATGTTTGCGATTTATAAAAAACTAACTTGATGGGAAAATGTGCGGTCCTCCACGCAAACTCTGACCCATGCGTACGCACTAAGCACACAAACGGGAGAGACGAGAAACTGCGACACCGTTGGCAGAAGGAAGAATGGAGAGAAATATGTGGAAATAATACCATAAATAAAATGTTACCTCTCATTTATCAAATATGAAGAATTCATTTTCAAACATTGATTAAAGCCAATCTTAAAATGATTGAACAAACGCCTGTTTGAGACTCCTCAGTGCACACAAAAACATAACTTGGAGAAATAAATAAATACGGAAATGTTATTGATCACCCCTCGATTATGTTCTCTTGTTAAGAAATGTTTTCTCATAAATGATGCGGTAAGCAGGAGGACAGAATTACGTTTAAACTGACGCCGGTTGTATAGGTTGTAGATACGAGCATGGTTTTATATACAATCACGTTTAATCATGTTTTATGCCGTTCGCCAATAGTCTACTTCAGGGCTATTCAATTGGCGGCCCGCGGGCCAAATCCGGCCCCGGGGTGATATTTACTGGCCCTTTGAGTATAATGTTAAAAAGTCATCAATTTTTTTTTTTGTGTGCCATAGTGCCTTTATTCCAGAGAGGGTGTTACATTGAGAGATAGAGGGGTAGACAATGCCTGAAAACTTCGACGGGCTCGGGTTTCGAACCCACCTACTATACTGTAGTGACAACTCCTGTCATTGATTGCATCTCTGCGTGAATGATTAGATCATTTCACCTAAATGAAATCAAATGAAACATGTAGGCCTACTGAGTTCTGAACTTGCCATTTAGATCTATAAAGGCCTTGGGGCTATGTTGTTTGATTGAATTAAACACAATATATGCACTCCACTATGCTGTTGTAGTATTTACTGTATCTGAAGCTCTTAAATATGATTGCTCATATTTCAAGCCATCTTTTTCCCGGCCCCTTGCTTTGGATCATTTTCATCAACCGGCCCCCATTCCAAACTAATTGAATAGCCCTGGTCTACTTGATAAGTCGCTCGTAAAACACAGGAGGTATGGAAACTAAGAACACCATATGTGGTAAATTGTACAGCTAATATAACACAATCCATTAGTTGTATTTCCTTTAACTGGTGGATTATGGATATATAGTTGCTGATCGACAGCTGGAACACAAACCACCAAATACAACAAAAATAATTCAGATCCAGTCGTCATGACTCCACTCCGGAGGGATTCCCCGATCATTTCTTACAGTTTCTCATCAAGGGGGTGTCTCCTGTCCCCGGTACAAACACACTGCCTGAGGAAGGTTATGTGTATTTTGTTTTGTCATTAACTTTTTTCGGACCACTTATTTATTTATTTTGGTGACGATCCGACCTCCATGCTGCTACTCTGGTTCAAACTGCATCCACCAAACATGATTTATCTCAACCTCCCCAAAATAACCTAAATCTGACACGGTGTGAGATGTCTTTTTTAGCTGTTCTGTCCTCATTTCCTGCGATCTTCTTCATGCAGTCAGTCAGAATGAATGAATGAATGGGCGTTTCTTTGACTATTTATAGGCAAATATGGGCGTTGCGAGAAGCCTGCAAAAGCTGCGCTGCATTTCGAGTGATTTATAAAGGGAAACCGGCGTAGGATGTGCCGCACGCACTTCCCTCGCCGGTACGCGGTCTTTAATGAATCGGAAAATGTCTGTGCGTAGTTATTTGCTTTGTCCTACGTAAGCAACCTTCCCACGTCAATCATACGCAAGGCTTTATAAATGAGGCCCCTGATCTTTTTGCTTTGTACAGTTTATTAGTGGGCGTTGCTGCTCTGTTATTGAATGCATACATTTATTAAATAATTGACATTACATGTCATTAGCTGACATATCCAAAGCGAATGTAAAATGTAAATACCGTGGATCTACAGGAGCAATTAACACGTTGACTGCAGGTTACAGGGATTGAACCACGGACTCTTTGATTAGTAGACACCGATCAGCCCCAGGATGATTTGCATCTGCATGTTTGGATATTCTGTAAAGTTGTTATTTTGTAAGCCTGCTTTTATAAGAAATGTCTGATAATCTTTTCAAATAGTTTATGATTTTGAACAGAAATTAGCCTTTGTTAATATATCTAACATTACCTCTAGTTACATGAGGCACAGCACCATACATTCTCGATGAGCTGCTCAGAACATGCACCTCTGCCTTATTGTTGCTCGTTTCATAATATATTTGTGTTTATGAATCATTTGTGTCAGAGCGCTGCAGGCTCAGAACTCGGCTGTATGACCTTTGACTTAGGTCAGGAAAATCAAGTGCTGCCTCTCTGTGACTCAGCGGGTCGCACCAGGCATCAGGAAACAAAGCACTTGCTGCCAACGGATTACTTTCCAAGTATGCCATAATATGTTATGAAATAAAACGCTGTTGCCATTAAACGTGGGGTGCTACTTAATTGAGGCATTTCCAGATTCTGTAGATATATGAAAAATATTTAAATTACTAATTATTTTTACCTAATAATATGGATATTATATAATGAAATATTGGTATTCCCCCCACAACATCACACTCACAAACACATATTTATTTATTATTTATAAATATGTTTGACTTATGAATATAGAGGATATTATGTAGAAATAAAAGAAATCATTGATATTCTGAAATTGTATTTATTTTGAATGTTATTCTCTTAACTTGAAGTATGTGGTTCACCAGTATATAAATATTCCCTAATTTATTTTCTCTGATTATTACCTCCAATGTGTTTACACTGGGTATTTGCTAAATGTCGTAACATAATACTGAGTTAAATTCTGCTTGAGGACAAGTTGAACTGAGACTTATTAACTTTAGGTAAATGCACTTTTGTGTTTTCTTTCAAACCCCTCATTCTTCCTGGGACTCAAAACAATATAATGATACAGTATATAACACATGAGCTGTATTGTATTACCCCTGCTTGTCATGATCTCTCTTTGTGTTTCCTGTTTTGTTTTGAAAAGTTTTTCTACCCCTGTGTTGTGTCTGTTTTTACTTCCTGTCTTTCCCACTGGTCTCCTGTTGCTCTTTGTCAGATAATTTTTATGCTGTCTCTTACAAAGCTCTGTTTGGCTTTTCCCTGCCCTGGATTCCTGAAATAAAAGGTATACTTCTGTAAAGTCTTCCTGGTAAGTGCCCTGCATTTGGGTCCACCCTGCTACGCTTGCTGAGACACACTTCTCATGTTCTTGTTCCACTAAAACAAAATGACCAGTGTTAAAAACAAATCGTAGCTGTGTTACCTCGATGATCTCCAGCATCTCCACCCGTGTGATCTTGCCGTCTCCGTCCAGGTCGTACATATTGAAGGCCCAGTTGAGTTTCTGCTCGAAGCTGCCTCGAGATGTGATGGACAGAGCGCAGATGAACTCTCTGAAGTCGATGGTGCCGTCGCTGTTCTTGTCGAAGGTCCTGAAGGCGTGCTGGGCGAACTTAGACGCATCGCCGTATGGGAAGAACTGGGATGGGGGAAAAGAAGAGAGTACAAAGATAAGTAAAGCTGCTTTACAAGATCAAGATCAGTTCGAAAATGATGCATTGCGTATTTTCTGGCTCTCCTTGGGATTAAATCAACTTTTACTCAGAGTAATACGCTTCAAGGGAACATCAATACTCAGCGAGAAACCTCTACACATCCAAAACATGTCATTTGTTATAAACCTTAAAATGATTCACTGGGTGATCAATGCAGATCATTCCAAATGTTGGTACATTGCAGTGAAAACAGACAGTGCTGTTCGGGAACATAATGAATCATTTGCATTTAAGATCAATGGACTCTGATTACCTGCAGTAATGAATGGGTCTTTGGTTTTCTATTCTCATCAGGGCTTTAAGGCTCTAGCTTTGCTAATGTGTTCACTGGTCTGTGATTTGTCTGTGTGTGTGTTTGCATAATGATCTATCCTGCAAGGTGGTTTCAATAATCTTATAGTAAATAGTAACCTGTCACATCAAATTCCAGTCTGTCACATTCAAGTACAGTTTGGAGGTAGTTGTACTTTACTGGAGTATTTCTATCCTCCACTTTACACTTCTACCGTAACTTTTATACTTTTAATTCACTTTTGATTCAAAGACTTTAACTGTCACCGAATATTTCTACTTCCACCACATCATCAGTTCAAAATAAAAATGTTGTCCAATAACTTTCATTTATGTTTACTTATCTGCAAAACGAATGACATTCCCATAAGCCTCGGTTGCAAGTACTAATCAGCAAGTATTAGCATGTCGAAATGCTTAACTAAGATAATATACATCGTAAACATTTAATCTGTTTATCATCAGAATTGTAGCCTTTCATGCATTTACCATGTAGGTGCCATAACGCTACTTAGCACAAGTTCATTATTTGTATTATTTGTATTATTTGTTTACGTCACTTTTATTTGTTTGTTGAGCACTTCCGGTACTTGTCACATGGGTGTGGTTTGGTTATATAAGTCACCTGTTTGATGACAGAGGGTGAGCTTGTGCTGTCATTTTTTCTGTTGACCGTTTTGTCCATAGTTACTATGTTATGATTTTGTTTATTAAATATCCTAAAACTATCTTGCTTCAGTATGGACTTTCTCTTCGAAAACGCGTCACAGTTTATAGCCAAGTTTAGCCTCTCGGCGACTCAAACGTAACTACTGTAGGGATTGAGCCGCCACATACCATGCTGATGTTAGCTTTCAGCTTAGTGAAACTAGCACAGCTATCAGCTCTTATATCAATGTTATTTAAAAAATCACAAAATGTTGGAAACTATACCTACAAGTAATCATAAAAGAAATGTTCCCTACAATATGATTTACCAGACCAATACCAGTATTTAATAAGACTATAGTGAAGGAGAATTAAGAAACTAAAATCAACCGGAAAAAGTAGTCGGAGAGTTAAAGTGAAAAAGGTTCCGATAAAATGTGTTTATTTAGTTGGCCCTTTGTGCATGTCAAAGGTTGCTTGAAATGGATTACACTTGACATGAATCTGCTATGGTGTGATGTCAAAGTCCACTGCCCTATGATCCCCTGTTTTCCTACAGTAACCATATGGATCAGCCCTGATCTCAGAATAAAACTTAAAGCTGTTGTGCGCTGGCACTTCATCCACGTCCTCTCTGCACCCCCGCGCTACATGTACACCGAGTCAGAGGCTAATGCAGCGACCACTGAGCCCCTGCTCGGATCTCATCCACCGAACACTGTGACCCCTGTGGGCGGCCGTCAGATGCTGAGTGATTCATTAGATTTGACCTTCCACTTGACCTCTCCGCTAAAAATTCTTAGAGCCGGTGGGTAATCTAGGCTGAGCGAGGCAGCTCTCTGAGGACTCCAGTAACAGCCTTCATCAGGGAAATGAAACAAACCGGGGGAGATTTTCCATTCTGGTTTATTATGTGACGGATTGTCTGGTGCTTATCTCACAAAAACAACTCAGTCCTGGTTGTATGTATTTAAACTAGAAAATTAAACATATTTGATCTATGACGGAAGCGGTGAAAAATGAGTGAGGGGAACTTTGTTTTCCCTATTTGGATTTTGTTTGCTTATTTTCAGTGAACGCTGCAAGCATGAATGTATTACGTCATAGGGAATGAGCTCAGAGGACATGTACCTTTTTTAATTTTAATATTTCATCTACCAGCAAAAGTCGGCACACCGTGCTTGTACTGACCGTTCTCATTAAATAATCAGAAGTAGGTCAAGTCTCAGGAGTAAGACAGGCTCTTTAAAAAAGTTGTGAACATGCAATAAGGGCATTTTTCTTGGCTACCTTTTGACAGCAAAAACACATTGTAAACACCATTTTGACATTTAATCAGCTTTTAAGGTTAACAGCTGCCTATAACATCCAACTGTTGTGTAGCAACACATTAGCGTTCATTTGTAGTTTGTTTCTTGTGAATTTAAGTAATATATACTTGATCTTTTAGCTCGGTTTTGGTCTCCTCCACAGCTTTAGCTGCTAAATGATTAGCTACACTCTCCAGCTAGTTGATTACTTTCTCTGTCTGCGGTTTGCTGCTGGAAAGCTAGTAAACATTGAGATGTTTTGCATCTAGAAAGGATGTAAACAAGATCCGTAAGAGTGAATCAAAGCAGAATACTTGCAGGTCGCATAATACCCTCAAAACTTCGAGGGGAACATCACGGTAAGTTCATTCTTGTCTGCGGTTTAATCACTAAAAGCAACCCATTTGACTTAAGAACACACATTTCATCCATAATGAATGTATACAAAGTAGGATGATAGCCAGTTAAAACCATCCAGAGCTTTCAAAGCAGAAATGTGTTCAGTATTCAGACACACGTGTGTGTGTGTGTCCCAGGCGCGACCAGACTGTTTTACACCGTGTCCTTGTTCATGTGCGCTGCAGACAAAGGACGAGGACGCAAAAAGTAACTGCCCCATCACGCACAAACTGTCTGGAGTGAAGACGGAGGGGAATTGAAGGCCATGAATCCTAAAGGGAGCGAGAGAGTGCAGAGGATGGGAGATGAAAAGAGCTAGAGATGAGGGAGGGAGGGAAAGTAACGAAGAAGAAGAAAGAGGAGGAGGATAAATGAGACGGGGTTAGGCGGTGAGAGTCAGTTCGGGTTGCACCGCCTCCCATCTGCATTAAAGTCCCACCCATGCTAATTCTGCTGCAGTGGCAAAGCGATCAGACTGCAGTGAGGAGTTAACAGACAGAAAAAGAAGGGTGGGGGGGCGGCAGGGAGGAAGGGAACGAGCAGAGAGATGAGAATAGACAGAAAAGTGAAAAGTAAAAAGAAAAGATGGAGGAGACTTAAATGAGAGTGACGGGGAGAGTGTTAGAAGGAGTGTGACAGCTATCCCTATCTGGCCTTCTGTTCTGGAGAACTCATTTGAGGAAGGAAGCCCCCTCGGGATGGGGGGGGTTTGGGAGGGGGGAGGGGGGCTCGAGTGATCTGCTCGGATGAACAGGACGTTTTCTGCACAAATGCGGCGTGACTTCCTGCCCCCGTATGGCCCCGCTTTAGCTCATCTGCACACAGCCCGGAGGAAGAGGAGGAGGGGGGGGGGGGGGGGGGGGGGGCACGTGGACCGGCGGCGGGACAGAGCGCAGGGGGAGAGTTCGAGGAGGGGAGGGGGAGTAAAGGTGCCAGGGAAAGGATGCAGGGAGATGTCGACGGTGGGAGGGTGAGAGAAAGCCACTGCGGATTCTCGACAATCTGCCAAGTTATGAAACATTTTGTTACGTAAAGAGGGAGAGAAGAAAGAGGGAAAGTGGGGCAGGGGGATGAGTCTGTGAAAGTCTTCCATCTGAGTTTATTTGGTTCATATTTTCTCGGTCACATGTAAGAACATTGTCAGAGCTGTCAAGCACGGGAAACATTCAATAGATGGCGACCAAAGTCTTGTTCCTCGCCTCTGCAGCTACGGACATTAGCCCCTAACATCACCATGAGGGCTTTTTCCTGTCCTGAATTGGCCGTTATGGTCATTTGGGGTCGGCCATCAAAGGACAGGCTGAATGCCAGACTCTTTGTGTCCACTCAGGGAGGAGCGGGCAGGCACAGCTGGTTTAATAAAGGATAACGTCCTTGTCTGTGTCAACTAGGAAAGATACCACTAACCCAGACACACAGGACCCAAACATGCTGCCTGTAAATGGAACATTAAAGCCTTCATAAGCGGGCTGCAAGCTGCCACTGGTGCTGATCCAGAAACAGAGAGAGGGGAAGGGGGGAAGAGAGGGAGGAGGAAGTAGCGAGATATAGAGAGTCACACTCAAACAAGGCCATTTCACACTGACAGAACAAGATCAGAGAACAGATGAATAATAATGCTGCGAAGAACAGCACAAAGCAGCGATTCAACAGCCCATGAGAAGCTCATCAATAACAGGCGACACATGACGTCAAAATAACTTCAGTTGTTTAACGCGAATGTTCGATTCCGGATTGGTGTTTAGTCGCCCTGCCTGCAGTAGATAACAGTTAAGCTGGACCGACATCTTGAGGCTTAAAAGCTTCCAGTGATGAGCTGCCGAGGGTCAGGATTGAAATGCCATGAAGATTTGTTTACTGTACGACAGTGTGTTTCAGTTTAGGCAGCTGCACATTGCACGGAACTGGATTACTCTGATGTCTAAGTACAAAGGAAAGTACAAAATGGTAGATATAAGCCTCTGTAAGTGTAAATGATCTGAGACGGACTACAGGAAGTGGCAGTCTGCAGCATCATGATGATGTAGGTAAAGGCTGCGCCCCCCCCCACCCACTGAGACACCCTGCTGTAATAAAGCAATATGAATCAGGTTGATGTACTCTCTGGATTAGCTGTACTCAACAGTCTGAAGCTCAATCAACATATGAATGATGCACAGCTTCTTTCTTTCTTTGCATGTTTGTTCATTCTGATCAAAGCTGGTACACAGTTGAAGATAAAGATTAGACTATGCTAATATTATTATTATACTATTTGAAGAAGAAGATTGCTATAG